TCCCGTTTGGGAGTTTCTGAACAGTATATATTTAGATATTTAGTTTTGACTCATCACGTTCAAGAGAATACGATCTTGTCATATTTTAACAAGTCACAACCTCGAAATTTGTGTTTCTTCTTCACCGTATTGGACTATAGAATATTTTTTGTCAGTATACTGAATACGTGTATAATTCGATAAGGATTAATTTGATAAAATCGCAAGACATGACGAAATTGTTTTATTTTCCTTGTTTTTGCTCTCTCTCACTTTTGCCGGGAGAAATTTAGAAGACCTCCGTCGTTGCTGTCCATTGACGAAGTAACAAGAATTTGTTTTTGTTATTATCAAGTAATATTCAAAGGAACAAAATCATGCTAAACAACATTGACTCGACATTGCACGTGAGTGTGCTGTTGCCTTATCTTCAGGCGCCATCCCCTTACATCACTCGACAAAGAGCGGGAAACAGGGAGCGCGGTGCCTGGTGGTTAGGCAGCGAAACGCGCACCAAGTGCAACCTTGCACGCCTCTAACTAAGGGAAGACGCCTGGCCGAGAGGCAAAGAGTGCTGGCTACTATCATTGGTGCACATTTCTGGTAAAGTGGGTTGTTCTTTTTATGATACAAGCAAGTGGGGTTGTAGAGCCTCTTCCACTCTGTCGACCCTCATCACTGATGACCAAAATAGCGTTGTTTTCCCGGAGAATTATAGTGGCGAAATGTCTTACACGCTTCCTGGATTTACTTCAAATTCTCCTGACCTGTGGCTTACGTTTTCTGTTCCTCTGGAAGTGACCGCTGGTCAGGAGTACAGGGTCTGGTATTCAGAAGATTTGCATTCTATTACAGAAATTGACAATCTTGGATCAACCTGTATGAGAGTTATTGTTATCTATTCCATTTAATTTTCAATCAACTGAATTAAGGCATTTACAAGACTAGTGACACGTGCACGAAAGAACTAAAAATTTTATAATAACCCGTCAATGCAGAGCGCACGACAAATCTGCGAGACAGAGGTTTTTTACCATTTACCCCAAAATGCCGGATTTTTTGGTCAGAATGTCAATGATAAGAAAAATTAGGCTCGACCGACCGGAAAATTTCTCATATAAATGGGACTTCTTGAAAAGAAGTCCAAAATTTCCAACCGAAATGTCCCAAAGGATTTCTAATTCTTTATTGCCAGTATCAACTGCCATTTTGGAATTATGGTCAGGTCGAACTCATTGTAGACTCTCTCGGTAAACTGAGGTTTGTTGATACCATTAAATGGTAAATCAGTGGCCAACCCGAATGGAACTTACCATCAGGCATTACTGCTTACCATTTACACAGTGAACCGTTGACGAATTGGTTTCACCGCATAAATGGTAAACAACCAAAGATTCCCTTCTTTTTCTGCTCGGTGAAAGACGGGAACCTCTGCTCGTAACCGTTCGATCAGCTGCCGTCCAAGTTCACAACAAGGGACGAATAAATTATTAGTTCACGCATGAAAAAAAAAAAAAAAANGATGTTTGGAAAAGCATCCTCGTCACACGCGCCAAGTGCTAATAGAAGATTGCTTGGAAGTTCCTTCTCTGCTGACTGCCACATCGTTTGCCATCTTCGAATGGTGGAAGTGAAACAACTTTGTAAAAAACAATTTTACTCTAT